CCTCCACCTAGACCAGGAGGCCAAGATTTAAAGTGCCACCTGCTGCAGTCTGAACAGGTTGATTAGAAAAATAGGTTAAATAAAAAATTTAAAATTTTAACTGCATGTAGCCACGTAGTTAACTCCTACATTAAAGATGAGTTGGACCTTAAATCTCAACACAACCAGTGTAAATGTGAAGTCCAGGCAATTTTCTTTGATTTACCGTTAAATCCAAGTGTTTTGTGTACTATTGGCTCACTCAGAGCTGCAAGCAAATGCTATAATTTTTCATTGACTTTTAAATGGCAGCTAAGGATAGCTCTGTGGCATACTGTACCTCCAACTTTTCACTAAATTCCTCAGAGTAAGGAATAAACCTGCTGTCCATGTCCCCTTTATAAAACCACGTGCATCGCCTCACTTCTGATGGTTCCTCTTCCCAGTACACAGCGTGCCGTGTGCGGTCATATAATTGAATGTCATAGCGACCTCCGTCAGTGGACACAATCACATTTTCAGGATCTGGTTGTACTGGAAGTTTTAAATTAAAATAGGTTGCTTTACATTTTGTAACAAAAAGTGACAACAGCTAAAAATACAAAAGAAGTATTCATAATAACCATTGTACAATTAGGAAGAATAATTTTTGTATGAGAAAAAGACAACTTGACAATGCTGGTTAAATGGTATTTGGCCTGTGCTCGTTAGTGTTTCAAATCAAGTCTGGATAACAACCAAAAATAAAAATGTTATGGTGCATTATAAAAAATATTGTGCCTGTCATTTCATGCATGTCTTTTGATGAAATGTATCATCTTTTTTCTTCTCAATGCTTAAGTTTCAGATTAATTCCTCCATCTGACTAATGAAAAACAAAAGAAAACTAATGAGACAAAACCTTGGGAAAGGCCAAAAAAATTAAGATTTTCAATCCTGAAAGGAAGGAAAGAAGAGTTTAAAGATAACAAATTGTGTAGAACTGCTTAATCCATAAAATTACTTTAAACTAAACTGGAAGAGGACAGCAAGTTCAAGTGAGTAAAACTGAAATTTAGAACCAATATCTTATCCACATCAAATGGTCTTTTGGATAAGAATCTGGAATGACCAGAACTAGATGCTGTAAGTAGAGGTTTTATAATTGATAGCCACGACTTTCTGGGTGAATCATCTAAAGTATGTCAAATGACTTTGCTTAATCACAATAATCTTATAATAAAGGAACTGTAAAAGGTAGATACTTCCTTCAATCAGTCAGCGTAAACATTTAGATCTGGCACAGTTGCTTTGATTAATGTCAATTCAATTGGTGCAAGATGGATTCTTTCACTGCCTTATTTTACCTACTTACAGTGACACAAAGCAACTCAACATTTCAATATCACAAGCAGCTCAATGGTGAACAGGTGATATCAAACTTTAAAACTGGTACTTCCCATTTGTTAATTCAACACTGTAGCTTCTTTTTTGTCACCCTCCCAAACCAATTTTTTGATCATGGAAAACTAGTCATAGCCCTTTGACTTGCCTATTGTTAAAATATAAATGAACTGTCACGGATACAATAAATGTTAATTTAAAAAAGATGACATGTTGTGACAGCAGACAACACAGACAATGGTCAAAGACTAACCTATAAGGTTGTGGTGACTGTCATTGTTAACCAACAGCAAAACAGATCTTTGTTCCAGTTTACATGGGTCACAAAATTCAAAGGCGGTGTGAATGCATTCAACAAAACAAACACTTTTGATGCTTAAAATAAGCGTTTTTGTATAGAATTAACAAATTAATGCTGTAGCTTTAGGGGATTAAATCTGGACTCCATTTCCCATCTTATTTAGTAACTCCACTGTCAAACCAGAAGCCTGAACACTTATAGATTATCATCTCGGAACTAGATGTGTCCAAAAAACGTTGTTTTGAAGAATTTGACTTCCAGCTAATGAACTATCAATCCATCCTCACACAAGATGTTTTAAACAATACCACATATGTTAGACTGGCATCCTAATCAACATTCATTGAGAAAGAGTAATGGAAGTTTAAAAAGTTATTTGAGAACAACACATTGATTTGTATTATAAATACACCCGTGTCTTAGATTTTTCAATTCTAAAAAATGAATTTATCATCTTGTCTAATTAATAAATCTAAAAAAATGCTTATTAAATTCTAACACAAAGTTATGATGGCTCGGTAAAACAATATCCACAGTGCTGCATTAAATCACATTTCAATGAAGTCCCAGATTTGTTAACTTCACCTCTGCTCATTTTTTTCATCTATTCAAAACTAGCCAGCTTGGCAAAAGGGATGGTGATGATGGTGGTAAGAGCTAAATGTAACTTTCCTGTTTCTGATAGCAGATGTGGGGTAGAGCAGGGGTGGGCTTTACTGCAACGTTATAGACTGTATCAACACCAATTAGATACAATCATATAAATAGCTACACGTCAAGTAACTATTTACATTCCAGTGACTAACAATGTCTAGGTATGGTGTGAGGAATTTTTTTTAAGGTGACCAAAATATTGGAAATAATTAATGACGTTTGTAATTTACTCATGCTGTACATCTGCAAAGACTGGATTGTACAGTTGGCATTTAATTTACAAATAGTCGAACCATTCATAAATACAAACATGTATATACTTGAAAAGGAGTCCAAGTTACCTGAAGCAGCATATTAGCAACTCAAACATTACATGGCAAAATGTTCTCACTGAATGCTATGTAACAAACACATTTGCTTAGTGAATGTTTATTTGTCAATAAATCTTGGGATTTATTCCAAACACAATAAGTACATAATTTAAACACCAATTCTGGAATCTAAAATTGATTACAAAGCAGAAATAAAATGACTGATTAGAGGGGAAAATTATCCTGCATTATTTATCAAATATTTAACTGAAATAATTTTAAACTGAAGTTGTTTTTAGTCAGAGAACAAAACATTGGGTATAAAATAATTTTGAAATCATACAAATAAAGTTACTTCTACTCACTAGAGTTGTAAACTTCTTCCAGCTTCGCTGTGTCCAGAAAACTGAATGGCATCCAGATTGGTTTACCTTCCACCAGCTTGCAGTAGAACCAATGGGGTCGCACAGGTTCATAGAGGTTATATGGCAAATTCAGTAAAGGCTGCACTGCTGCGGCTATAGGTTTAGAAGCAGGTGGGGGTAACACACCCTGCCCTACAGTGGCCTGAAAAGAGAGGGTGCATCAATTTTATTTTGTTTTAAAGGACTCAGTAAAGGTATGATTAAAATATCATTCTCTTCCGAAAGTAATAGTTACTCCAAGCAAAACTAATGGCCCAGATATAAGACAGAGACAAACTGAAAGGTACGTAAAGCAATAAATCACCACAGCCCTGGCAACTCGAACTGGAAGCAGTACCGGAGTAAATTAAGAAAGAAGGCATGTGCCTGGCAGACACAAAGAAAGGCTGCAGACACAAGGAAGAAGTACAAGCTTGTAAATTGGGGGATGAAAATGATGAGATGCTTACACAAAAAGAAAGCAGACAGCAACAGAAAGAAGAACAGAAATATTTCTTGAGAGAAGCAGCAAATCTCTCTCAGGAAATGTTCAGCCTTGCTGGATGGCAGAAAAGGAGACAGAGCACTTGAAGGTACTATATTAGCTAGATAAGCAGTTTTAGAACCTGGAAAGCTGTGCAAGTAGTTTGGACATGGTAAACAGCTGGGTGGTTTTCAGACGTAGCTAACCTGTGAGCTGTTGTTAGTTGTGGTCTTGTTAATACGATCTCTCTCGATGAAATGTCTCATAACAAGATAGAAGTACAATTAGCCTTCGTGGGACAGACTAGCTCAAGGGAACATACTTTCAAGTAAGAAACGTTTCCCTCTTAAGAGAAAGGCCAGGAGAATTTTTTTTCTCTCAAGTTATCAGTCTGTTTAGTTCTTTTTGCAAGATCAATGAAGGCAGGGCAATTTAATTATTTTAAGGCAGATTTAGATAGATTCTTGATTGGCAAGGGAGTCAAAGAGTATGGGGTATACAGGAAAATAGAGTTGAGATCACAATCAGATCAGCTGTAAGCTTGTTGAATGGTAGAGCAGACTTGAGGGGCTTCTTCTGTTTGTTTCATACACATGAAACTCAAAAGACAAGTGCTGATATTACATAAGATTCCTGACTTATCCTGTATGAATAAGGAAGGACATTGCGGAATTGTGGAGCTATGATTTGCCACAACGCTGCAGGGAGCAATTTGAGTGCTTGTGGTCCAAGAAGATGTCTTTTGGTTTTATCAAACAAGTTAAATTTATCTTTTTCTTTTATTTGAAGTACAGGTTGCTTGTCAATTCATGCTTATTTTACCTGATTCTGATTTGCTTTAAAGTTTAATAAAAATAAAACCTTGTTGGCAATTTCCAATTCTTTAACTGTAGTTAAAAACAGAAATCATGCAAGCTCCACTACACTGGTACCTTGTCAACAGACTCACTTTTCCAGACACACAACAGCTTCAATTGGTGGTACTTAATTGGTAGACATTCATTAAATATGCCAGAAAAAAGTTAGAACTTCTCCACAAAAGTTCATGTTACATTTTTAGCAGCACATTAAGTATCATTCATCACCAAGCAAGCTCTCTGGCACTGAAAGTTTCCAAGTGTGAAATCTCATTCCTTCGGATTTCAATCCTTGGTCAACTTTTTAAAAATGTCATAACTTGAATATTTTTTAAACTCTTTCCTGTATTTCACTCTCTTTAACCCACCCTTCTCTCCCATTATATTTTGCTTACTGTACATAATTTTATATTAAATACTCTAACTTACACTTTCTGGTTGAAACTCTGCACCGTCAGACTAAAGATTCTTCAAACTGATATCTTAAGGAGACAAACTGCCGTTTTCTCTTTTCATGCAAGTCTCAGACCCCTGACATAGGGAACTCGATAGAATAAATGTTGAAAAAAATCTTACTATACAATGTTTCCTCCCACAGTCCAAAGATGTCCAGGCTAGGTGGATTGGCCATGCTAAATTGCCCATCGTGTTCAGGGATATGTAGACTAAGTGGGTTATAGAGGGATGGGTTTGGGGTGGGATGCTCTGGGGGTTGGTGTGGACTTGTTGGGCCGAAGAGCCTGTTTCCACACTGTAGGGATTCTATGAACTCAACGTGTAAAGATGTCAGATTCACAAACCTGATGGGCTTTCTGGTTTAAGTTAAGTTTCAGGTAGGACAACAATAAAGATAACTTGTCATTCCAGTGATTGTTTACACATATTGTTACTGCATTCATACTATTCATTTGAGCTCAGCAGAAGTCAATGTCAAGTTAAGATGGTGAATTCTACTCTGGGATTGGGACAGGTGGTTAAAACATCAAGTGCTGATGAAACATTAACAGTGGAGTCAGACTTTGACATCAAATGAATTGCGAAGAAAGAAGTCAGGAAAGTAAGCACTTAGAGAAGAAATTTTGATCAGTGATGCTACAGGAAAAAATTTGACAATCTGTAATGGAAGGAAAGCATTGTAATGTCTCATTTTATATCATTACCCCAAATTAATATTTATCAAATTGACTAAGTGAACCTGATCATACTGGTTTCTCTGTGCAGACATCTTGCAGAAGAAAGCAAATCACATCTCAACACAAGGTTAATTTGAGATTACTACTGGAGCAATTGAAGAGGTACATGTGAAAGACACAAATATCCAGTTCAGGTTGCAAAGCGGTGCTCATATCTACATCCCTGCTTTGGACCACAGAGGTAGATATGGGACAGTATGAACACAGGAGTTAGGAGCAATAGGCTATTTGGCCCTTCAAGCCAGCTCCAATATTTCACAAAATCACGGTTGATCAGGTTACGGTCTCACTTCCACTGTCCGTGCCATATAATCCTTGTCTCCCCTGTCTATCAAAAATCTGTCTAACTCAGCTTTAAATAGATTTAAAGACCCAATCTTCCAATTTTTTCTGGGGTAGAAAAATTAAACACCGTGAACCATTCCTTGAGATAGTCTCAAAAGGGAGACTTCTTATTCTTAAACTGTATTCACTATTTGCAGTTTTTCCCACACAAGGAAATATTTTCCTGGTATTCACCCTATGTCAGCTCAACATATTTTATGTTCCAGTAAGATTGCCTCTCATTCCAATGAATATAGGCCTAACCACTTCACAGGTTAAATCTTTCATCCCTGGATGAATTGTGTGAACCTTCTTTAAGCACTTCATAGTGATTATTGTTTTTCGAATAAGGAGACCAAAACCATTGACAGTACTCCATAGGAATAGGAGTAGACCACTCAGTCTGTCAGTTTGTCCTGCCATTCAAATTAATTATGGCTGATCGAACACTTGTGTCGTTTACTCACTACATCCCCATTATCACTGTTTGCTACTGGTCATCAGAAATCTACCTTCCAAAAACATATTCAAAGACTAAGTTGTCATAGCAACGCATGGTTGGGAATTCCAAATTATCACAACCTTCTGAGTTTAAAGAAAATATACCTTCATCTCAGGCCTATTTGGCACCCATTAATTTTAAATTGTGCCCAGTGGCTTTTGACTCTCCAAGCAGGGGGAGCATGTTGCCTGCATCCACCCTGTCTATCCCTTTAAGTATTTTGTAGATTATAAGGAATTTACCTCTCATTCTTCAAAACACCAGAGGAGACACACTCGTTTGCCCAAGCTCTCTTCGTAAGACTGACACTCTATCCTGGGAACAAGTCTGGTGAACCTCCACTGCACTCCCTCTATCACAATAATATCCTTCTCCAGATGTGGTCTCACCAACACCATGTACAGCTGCATGAAAACATCTCTAGTTTTACATTTCACTCCCTTTGTAATAAATTACAACATTCCATTTGCCTTCCAGAACATCTGAAGTACCTGCACAATAACTTTGTGATTCGTGCACCAGAACACCCAGATCCCTCTGTATCACCGAGTTCTGCAGTCTATCTCCACTTAAATAGTGTGCTGCTTTGCTATCCAACCAAAATGGACAAGTTCATATTTATCCATGTTATACCTCATCTGCCAATTTTTGCCCACTCACTTAACCAATCCATATCCCTTCGCAGACTCTTTACCTCCTCTTGACAACTTGTTTTCCGTCCTATTTTGATATCATCACCAAGTTTAGTTACCATATATTTATTCGGTCAAAGATGCTCAAGTCATTTACATGAACAAACGATACCACACAACATGAAGTAGTATGTATGGCAGGCTCAAATTCTTCATAAAAGGATTCTCATTCTTTTCCTTTTAAAAGGCAAACAATGCACCTCACATGCATCCAGTGTATAATAAAAAGTTCTGCACCTTCCTAATTTCCATCACACTTATACCTGTAACTTAACCATTTTTGGTTGAACCAATGTTCATTGACTAAAACATGGGCAGTTAAGAATTGTTACTATACTTCAAAAGTACTTCATTGATGGGGGAATTACTATATCTGCTTGTTGTGAATAACTATTCAGGCAGTTTGCAAATAAACTGAGGATTACATAGTTAGTACAATAGACAGTACAAATATTTTGACAGTGAAGTGATACCTGTGGAGGAGACGTTGGTGGTGTCTGGTACAGATGATTCGCTGGGGGAGTAGACTGAAAGGAAGGCATTTGCTGGTGACCTTGACTTTGGCTTTGCTGAAGCTGAGGTGGTGTAAAGTAGGGACTGGGGCGGCTGGTCTGCGAACTTTGGCGATAAGGATTATAATTATGCTGAGTCTGAGGAGAGGAAACAGATGGAAAAGCAGTTGACGAGGAAATGGCATGCTGAGTATTCTGATACGTTGTGCTAATATACTGAGACACCGCGGGCATCATGGAGCCAGGCTGAGACTGCGGACTCTGAAATGCAAAGGGATCCTGCACAGAATGTGCTGTAGAAGTAAGGGGTACTTCGGTTGGAGCCATTGGTAATGAAGCCGTCCCCGCAGGTGGTGCTGCTGTTGTGAAAGGAGGATGTCCAATATTCGCAAAAGGATCATTGTTGGTTGCAGCCTGGGTGAAATAGCTGAAGGTTGATGGATGACTTGTGGAAGCAGAAGTCTGACCTACAAAACTATCCTCCTCACCAACGTCTGTGGATTCATCTGTGGGTTCATCAAACAAAACAGAGGTCAGTCTTAATTTAAAAACATTTGAAAATAATTGCCTTTATCCATGCTTTACCTTCTAGATGATAAATAGCTAAATCTCATTCAGAATATTTTCAAAGTAACAATTTATTACCTTTTCTGATACTATTAATTTTGATTAAATAGGCAAACACTGTCAACCTCACTGGGTTAGCACACTGAAAATCAAGCCCCACTATTCCTAGAGTCATACAAAGCTTAACATTTTTATGAAAATATGCAAATTCCCCAATTTACCTGTCTTATAGACTAACAGAAATATCAGATCAGGTTACAGAACTTAACAAGCATACCATTTAATACAAATAATGACGATGCCTTACACTATGATGTGTGGCATGATCACATGCTAAATGAGACAGACTCAAAAAAATCTAGCAACTTGAGACTGGGCATCCATGAGGCACTGTGAGCCATCATCAGCAGAAGAATCATACTCCAATACAATCTACAACCTCATGGCCCAGCCTATCCCTACTTTATCACTAGAATCAAGCCAGGAGATCAACGCTAGTTCAAATGAAGAATGCAGGTGGGCATGCAAGGAGTGGAACTAGGCATACCTACAAAAGAGGTGTCAATCTGGGGAAACTATAAACCAGGACCACTTTCATGTCAAACAGCACAAGCAGCAAGTGATAGAAAGGATTAATTAATCTCAACCTCACCGCCAATGGGTCGGATCTAAAATCTGCAGTCCTGCACATCCAACCGTGAATGGTAGTGGACAACGAAACAACTCACTGGAGGCAGCGGCTGCACAAATATCCCCATCTTCAAATGACGGGTGAGTCCAACACATCAGTGCAAAATATAAGGCTGAAGCACCCAGAACAATCTTCAGCCAGACATGCTGAAGGATGAAGATACTTGGCCTCCTCCTGTGGTTCCTAACATTACATATACCAGTCTGCAGCCAATTCAATTCACTTCATGTGATACCAAAAACAGGCTGGAGGCATTCAATATTGCAATGGCTATGGGCCCTGACAATATTCAGCAATAGTACTTGTGACCCTGAACTTGCCGCACCCCTAGCCAAGCTGGTCCAATACAACATCGGCACCTACCTGACAATGTGGAAAAATGCAGGACAAATCCAACCTGGCCAATTTCCACCCCATCAGTCTACTCTCGATCATCAGTAAAGTGATAGTTGGTGTTATCCACAGTGCTATCAAACAGGACCCACTCAGCAATAACCTGTTCAGTGGCACCCAGTTTAAATTCCGCCAGGCCATTGAGCTCCCAGCCTATTTACAGCCTTGGGTTCAAACACAGACAAAAGTGGTCAATTTCAGGTGTGAGGTGAGAGTGACAGCCCTTGAAATCAGGGCTGCATCCAAAAGTGTGGCATCAAGGAGCCTTTGCAAAACTGGAGTCAATGGGAACCAGAGGGAAAACTCTGTTGATTGAAGCCATACCTGTCACAAAGGAAGACGACTGTGGTTGTTCGAGGTCAGACACCTATAGCTGCTTCATCAATTACCTTTCCTTCATCGCAAGGTCAGAAATGGAGATGCTCATTGATGATTGCGCATTGTTCAGCACCATTTGCAACTCCTCAAATACTGAATCATTCCATGTCCAAATGCAGCAATGCCTTGACAATATCCAGGCTTACGTTGAAAAGTGGCAAGTAACATTTGTGCTGCACAAATGCCAGACAATGACCATCTCTAATCAAAGACAATCTAACCATCTCCCTATGACATTCAATGGGGTTATCGTCACTACATGCCCCCACTATCCACATTCTGGGGATTACCATTAACTAGAAATTAAACTGGACTCGCCATATCAATATAGTGTCTACAACACCATGCCAGAGGTTGGAGGTACTGTAGCAAGCAATTCAACTCCTGACTCCTCAAAGCCTGTCCACCATCTACAAGGCACAAATCAGGAGTGTGACAGTGTACTCCTGCCTTGCCTAGATGTGTTCAGTTCCAATAACACTCAAGAAGCTTGACACCATCCAGGACAAAGCAGCCTACTTGGTTGGCTTGCAATGAGTTTCAGTAACTCGCTATTAAAAAGTACAGCAATGCCTTCCACAAGCCTTAGTTTTAAAACAAAAACTGAAAGAACTCCGGATGCTGTAAATCAGGAACAAAA